GTGTCATTCTGTGTGCTATGGCTTCTTTCGCTCCCCATGTTGGAGAGAGATGTTTGGCCAAAAGAAAGTGTACGAGTGGTGGAAACCAGCTTAACAAAGCTGAAGAGAGTGGGAGTAAGTGTCTTTCCCACAGATGGCGCCAAATGTTGATGCACAAAATCAGCGAGGACTTTGGTACAACAGAAAGTGTCAGGTTTGTGACCTTCGCTTGGTTGCTTCAATCACTAGTGAAGATAAGTACGTAAATGAATAGGGACAGGGAAGCAAACACAAGATGTACGTGGTTCATCCAGATCGGCTACGTCCACGGAGTAGAGGAGTTCTCATTAATTGTGAAGGGTTTACACAAATACATAGGTTCAAGCTCTCATTTTGTGAGTTCTAGTGAATAGTTTAGTACAAAATGACATTAGAGATTATTGTGGGATAATGATCCCTATTTATAGAAGAGAGTTTCTAGTTTTGTTCTAACATTGACACGTGTCATGTTGTGATTGGCTTCTGATGTTGACACGTGTCGCGCTGTGATTGGCTTCTGATGTCGACACGTGTCGCGTTGTGATTGGCCTCCTGGTTAAAGGGAAGCTCTTCTGGGTCCTTGACGGTATAACGTTAACCGGTGCTCAGTAGTTTCGGGATTGGTCAAGTATGGTACAAACACATGGTATCCAAATGAATCATCTTTTCTTCTTTCTTTTCTTCCGTACAAACTTTCCAGAGAGAGTAAACACACAAAGCAATTCGCTAGAATTCTATAATCCAGTGCGGGTTATAAGATTAGGTAGTTGTATCCTGGTCGAGCAGACGTTATAGAACCACAAGCACAAGAGTGTGCCTTGGAATTTAAAATTAATCTGATTCATTAATTTTAATTTTCGGATTAAGTTTTTAATTAATTTATTATTAATTAAAAAACGTTTTGATTAAAGACACAGCTCTTAGAAAAGAGTTGTGAACCTTCAAATACACTAAACTGGTATTTGAAAGGGTGTGAAACAGCCTATATATCTGCAATCCATGGTATCCAAATGAATCATCTTTTCTTCTTTCTTTTCTTCCGTACAAACTTTCTAGAGAGAGTAAACACACAAAGCAATTCGCTAGAATTCTATAATCTAGTGCGGGTTATAGGATTAGGTAATTGTATCCTGGTCGAGCAGACGTTATAGAACCACAAGCACAAGAGTGTGCCTTGGAATTTAAAATTAATCTGATTCATTAATTTTAATTTTCGGATTAAGTTTTTAATTAATTTATTATTAATTAAAAACGTTTTGATTAAAAGACACAGCTCTTAGAAAAGAGTTGTGAACCTTCAAATACACTGAACTGGTATTTGAAAGGGTGTGAAACAGCCTATATATCTGCAATCCATGGTATCCAAATGAATCATCTTTTCTTCTTTCTTTTCTTCCGTACAAACTTTCCAGAGAGAGTAAACACACAAAGCAATTCGCTAGAATTCTATAATCCAGTGCGGGTTATAGGATTAGGTAGTTGTATCCTGGTCGAGCAGACGTTATAGAACCACAAGCACAAGAGTGTGCCTTGGAATTACTGTTCGAATGACATAGCTTTTACGCTAGCCTTTACCTTCTGTAATCAAGTTAGTACCGTTGACATTCTTATATTAATTTCTGTATTTATTGTATACTTTTCATTCTGTATAGCAAGTACCTTTTGTGAAATAAAATTGTGAATTTCAAGTTCTGTTTATTTCTGAATTGTTCTCCAACAGGTTGCTTTCCATTGCTTTCACTTCCAAGCTCAATCCACACGGTTTCATATACAACCGTGAATTTCTAAATGACCATGAAGTCTTTGAAGTCTTTCTTGATGCAATTAGCAATGCGGAAAAGTCCAAGTCAAGACTCAAGTCCACCCCAACCACCATCAACAGAAAAAGTCTTTCTTGATGATTTCAGCCTATTGAATATTTGAAGGAGAGCCAAGGGTAGACTTGACTTAAACTTTAAGTCTCGTTCGGAATTGCTTATGTTCATAAACTTTTGTTTTTCTTTTCTGAAAGTGCTTTTGATACAAATACATTGAGAATTTTATTAAAATTCAAGTGCTTCCTAAAAAGGCCACTCGGAAGTACTCTGTATCCCAAAAACATTTCTATGTAAGTTTTTCTGCCAAATTTCGAAGCGCTTTTAATTGTCAGAAAGCGCTTTTAATTGTCAGAAAGCGCTTTTAACTCTTCTTGAAACAACCCCATTTGTTTCTCGACTAATTACAACATTACTACCATGGCCCCAAAGTTGTTAATTTTCACATGTAAAGGGGGCCATTGGTTTGTTATATCCTTGACTTTGTCTCTTGGCTCACAAAAGATAACGAAAAAAGGTCGGCCTACTTTGTGGAAGAACCAAAATTTACCAATTCTTACCCTGTGTAACAACAATGCAGTAATACATAATTCAGTGTAACAGCAATGTGGTTACTGGTTTTGTTTCGGTAGATTGTTGGACGCTTTGAAATTCCGATGAGATAATACAGTTGCCTTAGCAATGGCGCCGCAAAATGTCAAATTCTTATCAATATGGTAAAAGAGAAAGACATATAATTTGATGGAAGGATGCATCCAAACTGCAATAGTATTATATGAAGGGTTGCAACATCTTCACAATTTCATTTCCAAGTAATACATTCATTAAAACCACCAAATGAAAGTTACAAATTGAGCTACAAGAAACCAGAATATTCATCCATTGCTTTCACCTCTCTTCTTAGCCTGCATCTTCAATTTCTTCTCCACCGCGCGATTCTTGCAATCGTAGAAATATATCATGCAGACAATCCACTTCAGCACATTCCCAAAGCAGAACAAGCAAACCTGTGCAATAATACCACCAAAATAATTCCTGCTTTTGTAGCAGCCGGAATAGAGGCAAGGCAACCTCAAACTTATTTCCCAGAAAAAGAAAATGAGCATCAAACTAAACCCTTTCCACTCACATCCGCTGCTCAAATATATCGCCTGACCAAACGGCTTGATTCCGCCCGCCCCATCCAGTATCGAAATCACAACACTCACATTCCACACAGAACTCCATGCCAAATACATTACCACAACCCCTACAAATGCCGGCCAACACAGTACAGCATAGAACAAAGCATCGAAATCATTGAAGTTTCGGAAGACAGCATAGTAGGTTATTCCTAGCCATGTCAGCCCTAGCAGAGTATAACTTGACAACACAAGGACATAAGAAAATGTTACAAAAGTTCCCTTCAGCCTTGTTTTGTCAAAGGTTTTTTTCACCATTTCTCTTATAGTCATCACTGGACTCTCTTCTGTGTGTATCTTAGATCCCAAGTAAACGATCGGAATCGCAGTTACGAAATGGAGGAGATGAAGAGGCACCACAAAGAGAAACCCCAGATAAAATAACTCATTGGGAAAATCTCGGTTCAATTTTCTGGATACCTCAACTGGAATGGACCAACTCAACCTGAAGTAAGTCAAGTAGCGGTTCATGCCGGCCTCACGCGGCGGCAGGTTTAGGGTTTTCAAGGTTTCAACCATGATTTTCTGGAGATGGGATTCATAGTAAATCAGGAAACAGAAGAGAGGAAGGGAGGTGAGGATTGTGAAAGTTAAGAATTTGATGTTTCTGGCAGGGATTATAAGAGCTTTCCTGAGAATACCGGAGGCTTCCAGCTTCTGATTCTTCATCACAAGATAGCTTTCCATTTCCATGGGTTCGCTTCCAAGTTCGATCCACTCACAATTGAAGGTTTCTGATAATCCAAAGCACATCATTTACTAAACTATTTGAGCAGTTTTGGGTATTAATGAAATTTCCAAAGAGCAGAGGACAAATTAAATGACACCATTGTTCAGCCACTTGAACTTTACTCTGCAATTTTAATTCTTTTTTATGGTTAGGTCAAGGCTGCGTGCATGTCCCGTTGCACCCAAGTTAAAAACTCCCTCCATGTAGATTAGACCTAGGTGATTTACAACAAAACGCGTACAAAGAGAAGAAATACGATAAAATACTTCGTTACTTCATTTATTATTTAAGGTTTACAATATACACGCATCAGGGCCGGTCCAGAGCGGGTGCAAGTGATGGCACCACACAGGGCCCCCAAATCGGAAGGTTCCCGATTTTTCAAATTTGCATGTATATACGTATATATAGCAGTATGTGTATAATATTATAAACGTGAGTATAAGAGCAAGTGGTATTACAGCTTCTTTACATCGGCTTAGGTGATGGGTTTGAAACTTGTCTCCATCCTTTTTTTTAGTTTATTTTTATTAAATGCATAAGTTTCCACAAAATAATATAAAAATTCTACATAATAACATGAAAATTCAAATCTTTACCCTCTAAATAGTTAAGGAAAAACAATACGCTACCTTTCCACTTGTTGATTTGTTAAATTTGTTTGTGCTATTAGAATTTAAAGAAACTCAAATGAAAACTAAAATTATTTTTTCAAACAAAAAAATAAAAAAATAAAATTCTTAAGTACTTTTTCTTAAGTACTTTTTAAGGCCTCCAATTGACTTTTGCATAGGGCCCCCAAATTCTCAAAGTCAGCCCTGACACGCATGTTTGCCTTATTCTATAAGGAATATAATTACAAGGATATGAAAACTAAATACAACAGAGATTACAATTAAACAAATCTTCATCCTATCTAAAATAGGACTCCTAGAATATTTACAATTTAGGACTCAAATCAACACTCCCCTCAAGTTGTGCGTAGATATCATAGATGCCCAATGTGATAATTGGGTCCTAAAAAAACCTTTACTAGATACTACCTGAGTAAGAACATGAACCTGCTGGTCCTCTAAATTCACAAACGGTATAAACACATTCTTTCTTTTAAGATTTTCTTTGACAAATATCAATTAACCTCCACATGCTTTGTTCGATCAACATTAGACTTGATCCCCAACGTAAATTACAAAATATGGCATTAGATTCTTAATTATTTGCAGCATCCGCTAACAAGGCACGATTACGCACAAGATATTGTTCAGAATATGGTATTCGATTCTTTTAACTGTTCGCAACATCCACTAATTGGATCGTTAATTACAATAGTCAAACAAAGAACATACAATAAAAAAAGAATGGTTAGTCTTGTATAGTATGTGGTAGGTTTGAATTATGCTGCACAAATAAGAGTACCGCAACCAGAAGATGTCAAAAACCAAGCCTTTGTGACTAATGATGGGGGTGAAACGGACTCCACAAGCAAAAAAGATCGTCAGCTCATTGGGACTTAGTCAGTAGATTAACCAACCATACTATTTCGCTCAAAGACTACTACCATAAATGCTCAACTCTCAACCACTGAGAACCAAACTCACCTTCTTCGATCAGCAAGTGGAGAACTAAGAAGTGGAGTCTTACTGTGATACACGGTAGATGATGACACACTCTAATTTGGCCAGTTGCGTCCAAATTTCTCAAGGAAAGAGAAGCAGATTAACGCGTAGACATCCAACGTACATGTTGTGCAGAGGTGCCAAGGTGGGGAAGGCGACAAACAACTTCATCTTCTTGAACCAACAAAAAAGGGTGTTCATGAAGCTCTGCTGGAGAAGAATGCAATAAAAAGGTGTCGCGTGCAACCAAAGTACCAAAGTTCGTGCAAGAAGAAGACTTCGATGGATGCAGAGCAGAGATAGAAATTGTGAGCGCTAAGATGCAGTAAGTGTTGAAACGAAGCCGTTTTAGCCGAAAATACACCTCAAATCAAAACAAACAAACTTTAGGAACATCTAATGCAAACAATGAAAATCCAACCACAAAGAAAGAGTTCACATAAAATCATATATAAACAGATATAATATGGCAACTTCAAAGTAGGAAAGCAACCTCTAATTTTTAGCACGCAGAAGTGAGAAAGCCGATGCAAATGATGTCCAAGTCATCCAATCCAAGTTTCTAATAAAACCCATTGTCACGACATCGACATAACTAACATGATTCTCGTCAATCCTACTAGAACTACAATATAGCAGAGAAATCATCCTTCCAAGTCATCCAGCAGTTGCTCCAATTCCAGCTTAGTCCCTGTAAAGGCAAACAAGCAGATGCACTCAGCTACTCGATAATATCAAGAAGAAAAGAAGTCCCAAAACACAAAGCCCTAACACTTTCAACCAGTTGTTCACATCCAAATACACTCTACTTGTTCGAGCTTATATCTTTCACCATTTTGTAAAAACACTGTATAGCCAAGACTTACAAACGTTGTATAGCCATGACTTACCCATTGGCATAAGGTGAAGCACGACGAGCAGGGCGATGTGGAGGAGACCTGCTGTAGCTCCGACCACGTCGAGGAGGTGTGACACTACGGCGTCGTGGAGGTGATCTTCTCCTACGCGGACTATAACTCCTGCCAAAAAAGATATCATTTAAGTGTAATAATTTTAATTCTCCTCATCAAGAACAAAATATTTTCAATTCAAAAGTAGACAAACATTAGGAATATTGTGTTCCAAATAAAAAAACTTGGCACGCACAAGGCAAATTCTAAGTGAGCTGAGACAAGTATGTCAAGAAGGATGCGGTTAATCAGGGTACAAACAATTCTCATTACCATTCAAACACTCAACGCAACAATAGCATAAAATGGAAAGACAACGGGTCATCAAAATACAGAATCACAATTTTAACAGAGTGAGTTAGAAAAGAAAGATGGTCCCACCTGCGCCCACAGCCATCGTAACTGGGACTTCTGCGGCGTCGAGGGGATGGACTTCGACGCCTTCCACCACTCACTCCTCGTGAACCAACGCGCGTGCGACATTCTCGAGCAAAATGACCAGGTTCACCACACTCATAACACTTTAAGTCCTCTCCTCCACCACGCCCACGTCCACCACCACCACGGCCTCCACTACCCGTAGAATTGTGAGAAAGCTCCACACGCCATCCATTTTTACCTGTATACACAAAAACGGGAGATAGGAAGCTTTGCATCTACCAGAATAAATGAAGATATGATGCAAAAGATAATACGACACCAACTTATCACTTATAGTTGCAAAAGTCAAAACAAAACAAATTAACACACACAAATACAGTTAGAGTGGGATAGTTGGGCAAACCATTCAAAGCTTGAACCGCGTCTAGAGCATCCCTGCGATCATCAAATTCAATAAATGCATATCCTGGCGGTCTTCGTGCAACCCATACACTGTCATCAATTTCATAAAAATATTGGTTAGCAACACGAATCCTTCGAACCTATGAAAATTGATCACGACTCGTTAAGACAACGAAAAACAAGAGGAATGTAGCAGAAAATACTTGCGAAGAACGCCGAACATCCGGAATTCATCTTCCAAATCCCTCTCGTTCACTCGAGTGTCCAAATTCCCAACATAAACCCGAGTCATCGTCGCAATACCACCTTCAACCTAGCAAAATACATACATATATATATATATAACACAAATTTATCTAATAAAAACAAATTCTCATTTAAATTCCAGAAATAATCGAACTTTTCCAGGAAAAATTAGAACAAATCGAAAGTTCAATGATTTACGAAACGAAAAGAGGGAAAAATAGCATTGAATATTACCTTGAAAAAAACCTAGAATTTGTGAACTTTGATTGATCGGAGCGATGGGGAAACGAATTGGATGCTCTGCGGGTGGAATCGCAGAGCCCGATTAAACCCTAGAAACCAGAACCAATTTCCCCGCGTGTTCTTCGACTGATTGTACATTCCCCTTTTAGCCCTTATGGTGAATCTCCTCTTTTAACCTTGTCTGTGAGTTTCGGGAGCCCAACTGCCCCGCTATTGGGCTTATATGTAAAGTTATCTGCTCTCAAGGCCCAGACTTCTAAGGGTGTCTGAACGGCATGTCGTTTTTAATATCCAAAGCCATTCTACGGCATTGCTAACACATGCCTATGGGCTCGTTTGAAAATACTTTTAAAACGACTGAAAATGCTTTTGGTGAAATTGACTTTGGGTTTCCAAAAGCATATAAGTATTTTTTGAAAGAAGTACCATATATATTCTTCTTGCAGGAAGCACTTAAAATGTTTTTCTATAATCCACTTAGATTTCTACTAAAGATTGGTCTTAAAATTTTGGATTTTTAGCCAAATGGTCCCTGAGATTTGCATAACTCCTCATTTTGGTCCCTGAGATTTGAAATCAATAGAAGTGATCCTTGAGATTGTCCAAAATCAATCATTTTAGTCATTCCGCAAAAAATTATGTTAAAAACAATCAAAATGACAAAAATACCATCAATCTAACAAACAATACGTCAAAATGATTTGACAAAAAAAATGAGGGTATTTTTGTCATTTACATTTAGTGGAGATTTTTTATGGAATGACCAAAATAATTGATGATGAACAATCTCAAGTGCCACTTTTATTGATTTCAAATCTCATGCACCAAAGTGAGGAGTTATGCAAATTTCATAGACCATATTGGCTAAAAAGCCAAAAATATTTTCACTAAAAGTTTTTTCAGTAATTTTAAAATAACTTTCAAACGAGCTCTATATTTCTCATATCATTTTCGTAGGATAAATTTTTACTTCTTCACATTATTTCACCCCTTTTATTAATCCATGTCGTATTTCCAATGATTCTGCTTACTCCATTTGAAAGTCCTTATTTATTGTCTAGAAATAACTTAAGAAACATAAACTCTACAAAATGGCGTGTAAGCGTTTAATATTTCTCATCAAACAAGACTAATGACGTACTTGGAAAACTTTTCTAGTGGAAGTGATGTTGTTATAAACACGTTTAGAAATTTATTAGAAGTTCCAAGTGTTTCATGAAAAACTTCCAAGTTTTCTTAAGTGAAACACATTTAAAAGCATTTTTTTGTTCATAAAGTGTTTTTCCTCGTATGGAAGCAAATTATAAAGAAGCTTTAAATTTATAGTGAAGAGGTTGGACGAACATAAAAATAAAATAAGAAAAATGCTTTCAAACATCATATCGTCTTATACTCAAACTATCTGAATAATTTACCGCCTACAAGAAAATAATCTATTTATTAAATACACAATCATTGAATAATCTGAATTTATAAAACTAAATAATCCAAATTAATTCATATTATCAAATATTCGTAACATTTAATATTGCGCAACGTAAAAAGAATTCCGAAAAGATACACTAAAATAATCTTATAGAAAGAAGCAAGATATACTATAAAACAAGAAAAAAGTGCGTGGACGTATGATTATGGACCAATAGCAGAAAAGCCGAAGGAAGATAAATGGATGGTTTGTTGTTTGTTATCATGTCAATAATGTCCGTGTCGTTATTCGAAAACGCTGTCGCCGTCCTCACTCCCACTCATCTGCCACGCTCAAACATCATCTCAGCAGGCACGATATATAACCCACAACAAATCATTCAATTTCATGACCAATTACTGAAGCTCGAAGAAAAAGATTGGATTTTTGTTCTGAAGGATTTGTGCAAAAATGGCAGAAGAAGATGGGATTGTGGAGAGGAGTGAGAGATTGGCGGGAAGAAGTGGGAGTGGGGTAGGGAGCGACTCGAGGTGGGTGGATGGGAGCGAGGTGGACTCGGAATCGCCGCCGTGGTCGTTGCATTCTGATAATGGAGAACGCGGCAGAGGAGAAGGGTATGGAGGATCTTTCAGGAGGAGGCTTGTGAAGAAGCCCAAGAGAGTTGATTCTCTTGATGTGGAAGCCATGGCGATTGCTGGTGCTGGTAGCCATCACTTGAAGGTAATAACACAGTTCCTTACGTTTTTCTTCGGTTTTTTTTGTGAAATAAATCATTTTTATGTGGTATTAGTGGTTTTTCTTTATGTGTTGGTTAATTTTAAATTCATCAAATGTTGTAAGATTGGAAATTTGGTTATTTGGAATAAAGGTTACTTTGCATGGGTGTAACCACATTGGCTAGAGCTGACATGCTCCCCTATGCACTGAGTTTGAATCCTCATCCCCGCAATTTATATTAGCTTGGAGTAGAGTATCGTTTGTATTAAAAAATAATCTTTGTAATATGGTATGTTTGTTACATCATGTGAACCTTTTATTAAGAAATTGTATATCAGCAGAATCATGATTTGCCACCCCTTTTTTGCAGACAAAATTACCTTTTCCCAATTCTGTAATGTAAAGTGTTTGAAAATACTACTATGATAATATCCATGACTTACTAACTTTGTTTAATCAATCAGGATCATTCTGTTTGGGGCACTCTTGCTTTAGGATTCCAAACTCTTGGCGTGGTCTACGGTGACATGGGAACGAGCCCTTTATATGTCTTTGCTGATGTGTTCAGCAGGGTGCGCATCGAATCAGATGTTGATGTCTTGGGAGCTTTATCACTAGTGATGTACACAGTTGCGCTTATACCTTTAGCAAAATATGTTTTCGTAGTTCTCAAAGCCAATGATAATGGAGAAGGTAGGCACTTTTTCGTGTCACAATTATTTTGTCCTTGGTTATTTTGTCCTTAGTTGCTTGGTAGTATATGGTCATGTGAGTACTTGTTAACCTGTACACTATTTATGTTTCCAATTGTAGGAGGAACATTTGCATTGTACTCACTGATATGCAGATATGCAAATGTTAATCTGCTGCCAAATCGTCAGCCAGCTGATGAATACATCTCAAGTTATAGGCTCAAATTGCCCACTCCAGAGTTGAAAAGGGCTTTGCGTATAAAAGACACTTTAGAAAGGAGACCATTCTTGAAAACTATCCTCTTGTTGTTCGTTTTGATGGGAACTTCGATGGTTATAGGAGATGGTATTCTAACCCCAGCTATATCAGGTACATTACTTGACTGAGCTTGAGGTGGAAAATTCTTGATATCATATACTCAGCCAACAAAATATGTTTAAGCTGCAGCTACTGACATGAAATCACATTACCAATAACAGCCACAGATTGTTCTTGCATCGTTTTCAAGTTCCTCTTCCTTAGACAGGAAACCACAATTAGGAAGTAGGACTTTTGTTAAACCTGGCTGAAACTGCAAAATTGTGCACAATCATTTTCATACATTATACGAATGTTTTCCATTGTATCTGTGTAGGAGAGTATACTGATGTATTTTCTTCTTTTTGGTTGTCATAGTGATGTCTGCTGTGAGTGGCCTGCAAGGTGAATTGCCAGGTTTTGGTACAAGTGAGTATCTTTTTCTTAGTCTGACAGAGAATCTGTGGTTCATTTGTTTACTTAACTATTTTTTTTACCTGGGATAGAATTGAAAGGGGAAACACAAGTATAACTTATAAGTTGCGGACAGTATGGCCCATAATCTGATTGATTTTAATTGCAGATGCTGTGGTTGTTGTTTCGATTGTAATTCTCCTAGTGTTGTTCAGCATACAGCGGTTTGGGACTGGAAAAGTGGGTGTCATGTTTTCTCCAATACTTGCTTTGTGGTTCTTCAGCCTGGCATCTATTGGAATCTACAATTTAGTGAAGTATGACGTTACAGTCCTGAGGGCATTCAATCCTGCTTATATTTATTTTTTCTTCAAGAAGAACAATAAGGAAGCATGGTTCGCTCTTGGTGGTTGTGTTTTGTGCATTACAGGTATATCTCACCTTTAACTCCCGTTAGGTTTCTAATGAGAGCCATTTGTTTTTCCCTTTTCAATTTCTCCTATGGATTTATAGTAAAGAAACTTCCCAAATGCATTAGTGGTTATGCTGTTTCAGGAGCCGAAGCTATGTTTGCTGATCTAGGACATTTCTCTGTGCGAGCCATTCAGGTTGGCCAATGCATACCCTTTCTCTCCCTTGAAATAGCTTCATACATTTTATTTATCGAAGAGCATCGTATAATCTATACATCTTGTGCAGGTTGCCTTCAGCTTTGTGGTGTTCCCCTGCCTTCTCTTAGCTTACATGGGCCAAGCTGCTTATCTGATGAAACACCCTGATTCCTCGGCTAGAATATTCTATGATTCTGTGCCAGGTGACACTTTCCAACATCTTGGCTACCATTCTTTTCAACTCCACTCTAACTGTCTCGTAAAGGGGCATCTCTCTGTATTTGGTTCCTCAGTTTGACACTTATGGTTCCCCAATCTTGTGAACAAACAGATAGTCTTTTCTGGCCAGTCTTTGTGGTAGCTACCCTTGCTGCGATGATTGCCAGCCAAGCGATGATATCTGCTACATTTTCATGTGTTAAGCAATCAATGGCTCTTGGATGCTTCCCAAGGCTAAAGATAGTTCACACCTCAAAGAGGCGAATGGGCCAAATTTATATCCCTATTATCAATTGGTTTTTAATGATCATGTGCATAGTTGTGGTTTCCATCTTTCGAAGCACCACAGAGATTGCCAATGCATATGGTGAATTATCCTTTTCCTCTCCTTCCTATAAGAATTTTGTCCAAAGCCAAAGATATTTGTATATTTGAAATGAAGTTGGTTCAACATTCATATTCTAATGTTATCACATGAAATTCTATATGTTACAATTTTAAATGCCGCTAGGCAGGAATATTGAGTTTATATTCCTCACAACAATATATATGAGTTTTATTAGTCGGACAGGAGTCAAGATGTACCAACTATTAATGTGTAATGATAATTTTGCTAATCCAATTATATCTATTCACGCAGGAATAGCTGAAGTTGGTGTCATGATGGTGAGCACAACCTTGGTGACACTTGTAATGCTTCTCATTTGGCAAACCAACTTGTTTCTAGCTTTGTGTTTTCCACTTGTATTTGGATCGATAGAGTTTGTCTACTTGT